TTTTTTAGAAAAGACATATTTTTGAGCCTGCTATTTTTCTTGGTGTAAAAAAAAACAATTATGATGATTTGTTAAGGTTTTTGATTTCAAAATAAGGTTTTAAAGCTGTTCTTGTAATGAATGGCTTTCCTGCCTCCAGTATCAAAACAATTTTATGGTCTTTTAACTTTGTGAGGTTTCATTTATTCCTAATACTAATTGTGCTTCATGTCACTTCTAGTAAATGAAAAAAAATACAAAGATTACTTGATTACATTTGTATTTTACATCTTGTCCTCATAGGATATATATTTTTTTAAGTTATGTTGTTGTTGTTATAATCAAAGTTGTAGCAATAACAGTGACAAAAGGAAGTTCAAGAACGTGAAAGTGTAGATGAGATAGCACTTAAATTTTTATTCTTTTGCATTATTGCATGATAATCAATTTGACAAAGTGTGGTAAAATCCAAGTAAAATATGGAAAATAAGAAAAACATTTTGGTAAGAAGTACCCTTATAATATTCAAATGTGATGTCATCTTACTCTGATGGGGGGAATATTGTTCTTCTGCATATCTATTTATTTATAGTCATTCTTTGTTATGTAAGTACAATAGTGTATGTTTGTGAAGTTTAGTGGGCTTTTATTAAACATTGCAAGTGCATTGTACACAAAACATCAGATTAATCTGTTAATGTATGAAGCGTTTACTGAGTCAGTCCAAGCATAAAGGAGTTTTATGTTAAGAAAAAAAATATTTTTTTCACCATACAGTTTTCATATTTCATTTGCATAACTTCTAGAACCTAACCTCCTAAATGAATATCAAAAGTTTTTATTCAGGACAAATTTAATATTATGTGGGTTATTTTATATATTCTAACACTATATGCAGCTTCAGCCCATTTGACCAACATTGAGTGGTTACCATATAACAAAAACAAAAGAAATAAATCTAAATTATTCTTTTTTTCATGAATGACTGCACTTTGTAAAGACAGTTACACACTATTTATTTTGACATTTAGTTTTATTTCTATACAGTCGCATTTAGACCCTCTTAGAATTTAGCAATAGCTGTTTATTACACAGGACAGCTTTGTGTAAACAAAGGGTCCAGTTACCAACATGCTCTGTTGAATAACAAATCACACTCATGATGTGTGCATGCTTTCACAAGTACTTTGTTTATTTCATTTAAGTTTTCTTATCTATCCTAATAAATTTCTAAGTTTTACATTTTTATTTACTTCTATAGCAATGAATAAAAATCTACATAAAAAAACAAGAAATTTATTACTTATATCTGAAGTCTTATGTTTTTTAAGTTTTTGTACTTAGACAATAGAAGTACATGTCCAACACTAGGCCTATTTTTTAGTAACAGATTTGTGGTTTCAGAAATTTATTTTCTTTAACTTTAAGTATACATTATAGAAGACAAAATATTGTGAGACATATAAAGTAGATGGTCCTAAAACTAATATAATTTATCTGGTTTTCTAAGTAAGCTAGAAATATGCTAAATAATTCACACCTGATAAAGCAGAGTTTACACCAGCAAGTAATCAAAATGACAGCATGTTGTTCAAAACCAGTTATTTGAATGACTTCAGGCCCTGTCATATTTGATAAATGGAAAAATTCTATTTCTGTTAGTTATAAATAAATAATCCAAAAGCAAATGTCATAGAGAATTATTGACACATTTTGATAGACAGGATGTGCTAGGAGAAGCATAGCATGTAGGTTTCACTTTATTGCATTTATCTATGTAAATCAAAAATGTTGAAGGCTACAAGTTGACATTTCAGCTTGGGGATATCCATAGTATAAATATAAAATTTGTTGGAAACTTAGGAGATCGTATAAGAGTAGAAAGAACATTTAAAATATGCAATTCAAAGTGAAGAACTTTACATGAAACAGAGAAGTGTAGATTGAAAGAGTATTTAAATATTTCCTTTTCAAATTAAGAAATTAAATCTTGTGTTAAAATTAGTTTTATAAACAACATTTTGATGCCCAGTTTATAACATACAATGATAATAAAGTTTTTTAATTAAATTTTGAATGTAACTCAGTAGAAGGTCATAATGTGCACTTTTTGGTCAAAATGACCGAGTCTTTATATATAGGGTTAAATGAGGTATTATCATTTGCAAAATTTTTCTGTATATTGTCATCAAACTAAAGTTTAAAAAATGTCATCCATTTAGGTTGTTGTATAGTTCCTAACCATCATGTTATAGGCTTACACTTCCTGTTGTAGTACCAGATTCAATTGATCATAATAGGCCTATCCTTCCCATCCATAGGAATGGGTTTAGTTTACTATTTCCTGTAAATACTGTATTGAATAATTAAAAATGTCTTATTAAACATTGATGTTTATACTTTTGTAATCAATTAACCGTTATACATTAGTTCTGTGAGAAACCTGCTACTTCTAGACCTTAGCTGTTATTTTAAGGTTAGATCAAACCCAAGTAGTCTTTGTAATTATATATCGGAATGGAAGATATTGTTTGATATCGTGGTTAAACAATATAGTTGTGGATTAGTCACTAAAAATAATTTATAGCAGGTTCACTGTGAAAGTGTATCAAACAATAAAATAAACTCTAACTGTTTTTTTGGTGCAAGTATAGTCAATATGTAGGCTACAAAATTGAGTTGTATGACCATAATATCTTGTGACACAAAGAGAGTAGTGGTATCATAATAATGAATGTTGCAAAATAAGGTATGTTGGTGAAGTGGAAAGCTGTTGTATTGGAGTTTGGAACACTATTTTTACAATCAAATAACTTGTGTGTGATGATAAACCATTAAGATTTGTTTCTCATCAACCCTGAGTATCGTGTCATTTTCAAAATAATAGACTTAAAAAATCCATGCAGAAGTAGTAGTGTACAAGTATGCTATACTTTACTCTCCTGTAGTATAAATTTCATATCTAAAACATTTTAAAAGTTTGTAAGTTCTATTTTTTGAATATTCTAAATACAGTTGAGATAATGTGCAAAACTCAACCTGCAGTATTACTTTTTGTAGCCTGGCTATTTGAGAAATCCATATGAATTTTGCAGAATACCCCATAGTTGCCAGCTGACCCATTTTCTGATTGGTCAGTTACAAGAAGAATATATATTGTGAATGTAATTTTGTTGGTCTCAGAGGGATACTTTTTTACCTTTGAGGAGTTCAGTTCATTTCACCTGAGGGAGTAAGACTCACTTGTCAAAGACTTGTCTTTATTTCATCCTGTGCCTGTGTTAAATGTGTTTGCTTCATCTTAACTGCTCTTGCATTTTCCAACCATTTAGATGAGCACATGTTTAATTTTCTTCTTTTTTTGTAGTTCTATTTTTGACTGAATACCACTAATTGTCTCTCTCATTTCACTGGCAACAAATCATCACACTTGTTCTTCCACATGAATCCTTAGATTCATGAATCCTTTATTTTGCAGAGACCAGGTGACTGTGTGCAGTTATAAACTTGAAATACTACAACTGAAATATAATGATAAAATATAGATATCTTAAAATGTATTGTCATTTAGTATTGCAATGATAAGGAAATAATTAGCAAAAGTAACAATTTCAATATATTTGTTTTTAACTGTTCATAAGTCAAATTTAATTCAGCTATATCATTAAAGTGTTTTAGCTAGAATAATATGAGCAACTTCACAAAAAAAAACACAATGCTTAGGTATTTTGAAAACAATATAAAAATTAATAGTCAGAGGTGAGTTATGAACTCAGTGAAGGGATATTATGTCAGTTATATAAAATAATGTAATATTTGGTGTGAAATAGTAAAATAAATAGTTTTAATACTACTAAAACATTGAAAATGATAAGCTAATGAAAAGGCTTTGACATGAATAAAAGATATTATAAAAAATAAGTATATTTTGTTACTTTATTTTTTTAGTACTTAGGGTTTAAGGCTTGCTAGAATATAAATTATTGTACTTTTTTTTAAGAATAGCTAATCATGTTAGTTTGTAGCTAGAACCCATTTTCATAAATTGTTATTTTTCTAAGATGAACGAAAGGCATCATAAGAATATCTTTCATCTTCTGAAACAGGATGAAAAGGGTCACTACAAAGATACTATTCAGTTTTATTTTCCTTGTTTTTGACATAATGCTCTGGTAAAGACTATTTGATCCTAAGAAATTATTGTATTTTGTAATTAGGAAACCAGCCATCTGTACCATATGATTTGAAAGCTGAAGCATTATCTAGTACTTCTATCAAGCTCTCTTGGAAACCATCTTCTGGAAACGTACAGGCTTATTCTGTGCATTACTTTCTTCAAGATACTGGTGAGGCCTTTGCATAGTTAACCATCTGTCTAGTTTCTTAAGATTTAATTTAATGCAAAAAAATCATTGTAAAAATTTAATGCTTAAACTATTTGTATTAGGATGCATATTGACTATAACAATATTTATTGCTTATATTCTTAGAAATTATTTTAGGGAAATGAATGTTAACTGTTGAGTTACAGTACTTTTTTATTGGAGAAACTAATTTAGGTTTATTAAAGATATCTAAATAAACATTTTTATTTTTTTATACTGATGCGAGAAGTGTGCAAAATCTCAAAATAGCAAAAGGAAAATTGATCAAAGATCACCTGAATATTAAAAAGGGTCAACTTGGATACCACATAAAGAGATCTTTTGCTTTGCCCATTAGACATTTTGGAAGTAAGCAAGTTAATCTGAAAATAAAGCAATAATATCCTGTTGCTAAAACTTAATTTTGGTTATTATGAATATTTATTTTAGAAATTGTAATGTTTTTGCACGGACATTTTTTGGGCTATGTTTGTGATAAGGTAAAAAAGCTTCACCTGAGAATTGTAGAAGATATCTTGATGTTTTTATTTACACACACACACACACACTTTAAAAGCTCCCTTTCTGCAAAAGTATTTGAGGTCATTCATTTTTCCAGATAAGTTAAGCACTCATCTTTGTCTTCCCTACCAGGCATTAGCTGTTGAAGTTACCTAACAGTTTTCAATGGATAATGGTCTGTTTTTTTTTTTTAATCTAATATAGGCTGATAATTTTTTATATTACAGTTTACCCCAATAAAAGGTGTAGAAAATAAAACTTGAGTGCTATATTTAGCTGAAGATTTCATGACAAACATTCTTGTGCGGTCAGAGTTTTATGCATATTATAGTTGAAAATATCTGTTAAAATATCTTTGTTTAAAAACTAAACCAAAATTTAAACCTGTTGCTATAGTGTACTCACAGTATAATTTGATGTCTTTTTGGGCGAGCATCTCATAATATAAAAAAAACCTTCCATGACCTGGTGGTTAGACCACTCAACTCACAATCTGAGGGTCACAGGTTTGGATCCCATCACTGAACATACTCGCTCTTTCAGCCATATGGGGCATTATAGTGTGATGGTCAGTCCCACTATTTGTTGGTAAAAAGTAGCCCAAGTATTGATGGTGGGTGGTGTTGACTTGCCTTACCTTTAGAGTACCACTTCAAATTTGAAGACAGGTAGAGCAAATAGCCCTTGAGTAGCTTTTTGGGAAATTCAAAAAACATGATTTGAGAAATGTTTTGGTGTAATGCTGATTAATGTAGTTTCAAAAGATTTAGAAATTATTGACTAATTATTATTTTTTCTTAGCATGTATTTTATGTGTCTTTGACAGTTCCTATAGCTTACATGTGAAGAGGTGTTCTTTATACCATCTATTGAGATATTTTAGTTCTGTTTTAGGTCTAGTACAGTGTCAGTCTTAGAGTTTTTCAATGTTTTTCTGTTCTCATATGTTGCAATTTGTATACATTTGACTGATCATTGTGTCCTTTTCTGAGACACTATTTTCACTCTGCCCTTACAGAGTTTCACATAGTAGAAATTTTTGTGTGGTTTCATTTCTACTTTAAGAACTTTAAGGGTAACTGCCTTCCCACAACTGGCTGCAGACAGTGAAAAGCAATAGGAGTAGAGATGTTGTAGGTATAAGCACTCAGATCTGTACCCTTAATTGATTTTCCATGATAGCTGGCTAGTTTATCATCAGCGTTTGGATATAGTTTGATGGATGGGATATCCCTGATGCTTTTGGGTGCTATTACTATAAGCATTATCTATTATAACATCAAGTTGACAACTAGGACTGACAATAGCAATGCTTATTTGATATTAAGGTCATTATTGTTTTATAGTGCTGATGTAATTGCCTATTAACAATTGATGTAACTAATAGTATTAGAGCTAGTTATTCATTTATTTGGTGGAAAATGATGTTAAGGTCTTGATTTATTGCTAATTTCTCCTTCTTCCTGTTTTAGAATTTTCCTAGAGGGGAATCTTCTACCAACTTTGTATACTGACTAATAGCCTAGCTAGCTGTTTGCCAGTTATTTAAACCAGCTACTTTAATTTATGAAAACTTTATTTGCAATAGTTCAAGATGCTTAACTTGTCCAGCCACTATGGATTTGCGACATGTAAGGCAAGGTATATAACTGTGTAAAATGAATAATCTAATTTATCTATTAACTTGTGGTATATGTGATCTTAAGTATGTAGGAAAACAACTGATTCTCTACATTTAAGGATTAACCTACATAAATCTCAAATTAATAAGGGTTTTCATCATTCCATTTAAATAGATCATTTTATCAAACATTCATTTAATAATGTCAAAATTACTATATTAGTAAAAATATATAACGTAAATCTGTTAACAGAAAGAGAAGAGTATTTTATTTTGAAAGAAAACTATTTTTATGGATTAAAATCAGGATTTTCAAAAGAAAAATGCTAAATTTCTAAGTAGAAATACTTGTTTTAGAAATTTATTTCAGATAAATATTTGCAGCAATGAAAAAATAAATCTAGGGGTAATGGGAAAAATAGAAAAAAATGAATTGATTTTGAAAATGTCTTTCAAAATTTAGATTCTGCTCTTGACGGATCTGTTAATTTGGTAAAATGTATAATAATAAAACAATTATTTGACTTAAAAGATACAAAACTTAGATGTTTGTCAAAATATGTGTTAGATTTTGAATTTAAACATATTCATATTAAAGATTTAATTATAGATTTAATTAAACTTAGGTTAAAATGGAATCAAATACTAATAAATCTTTCAGAAAAGAAAAAACAAAAATGTTATATAGTAGTAGATTTTAAACATAAAATATATGATGATTTATCTCTGTTTTCTTGAACACTTTTAGGGATTACGTAAGGTATTTTGCCCATAAAATCTTTCCAACCTACAGTTAGTTTTAAATATAATAAACGTATAGGACCTCTTTTCTTTAACTATAAAAAAAAATCATTGAAATATTTAATCCTAGAGAAATTGCCAAATTGTTTTGTAGCTGTAGTAGGACTTTTTTCATAATCATATAGTTATAGGTAATATAGAGGTTATCAAGGACAGAGAATTAAGATCAGTATTAGAGAAAGGTACTGAATTTGGAATTTTAAAAAAGACAAAAAGATGTGAAATCTTAAAAGATTTGGAGAAAGATATTGGTAATTATATTATTAAAATGAGTCTAGGACATATGCTGGTGGACAATTTCTGGTATAGGACAACTGCCATTCAAAAGATTTGAGTATTCCAGATCTTTTGACCTGGATTACTCAGATCCAGAAATATATATATATATATATGTGTGTTATTATATATATATAATAACATACACATAAATTGTAGAACTCATTTGTAATATTGTCCACTGGCAGTTGTGCTGCTCCCCTATTAAAATAAGTAAAATATCTTATTATCCTCTTTGTTTCTTCTTTGAATGGAAATTATAATTTATTAATTTCAGAAAAAAAAAGGTTAAGAACTTTAGATTAATCCCAATATAAACGTATCTTTATTTCAGTGTCTTTAAAAATAAAATAAGTTCAAAAACAATTTATTATTATCCCAATTGATAAAGCTGTAATTTCGGCTTTGTGTATAAAAAATTATACTCACACATTTTAATTAATGAAATTAATATTGCAAGTACATTTTTAAAAGCATTTTAAAGAAGAATACTATTATTACTAATTCAAAGAAATCCATTAAAAATGGAATATGCATACAGATTATTCTTGTTCTAGCTTGCCATTTTATTTGCAATCCCAAAATTGCATAAGAATCGCGTTAAGTTCATTACCAATTCTTTAAATACAGTTAAGAAATCTGTCTTTATTGTGCTTGATAAAATTTTAGATGTCTTATTTGAAAAAATTAAAATTCTGGTATCAAATAATCCATATCACTATTTTTGGATTATTAAAAATAACATTCCAGTTTTAGAATGTTTAAATAATTTTAAAAATCTTCAAAAACAGCCAATTATGTTTCTACGTATGATTTTACCACACTATATACTGAACCAGATTTAAAGGACTTAATAAGGTATTTATTGACTTGTTCAATAATTTTGTTAATACAGAAATAAATACTCCAAAATTTAAATTTACCAAAATTCAAGGTAAGAATATACTTCGTTTTTGTATTTATAATAGTTATATTACTTTCAGTGAACAAGTACATCAACAAACAGTGGATATTCCAGTGGGGGCAAATTTCTCTTCAACCATGGCCAACCTGTATCTGTTCTTTTATGAAAACTAATTTCTGAAACAAGTGTTAAATCCTAATTTATACATCCGCACTTTCCATTACATAGATGATTTAATTTCCATAAATAACTTGAATTTTACTTCTAACTAAATATATCAGAAAGAACTCACAACAGAAAGAAGCAATAATAATGGTGTTCATGCTAGTTATTTAGATTTAGATATTAATTTTGTAGAAGGCAGAGTACAGTTGACTATTTTTGATAAAAGAAGGGAATTTAATTTTCGCATCCTTGGTCTACCTACCCCCTATAGTTTTATTCTGCATATGATGTTAAAAAGATATTATTATGTCTCAATTAAAATGGTTTTTAATAGTCCGTAACAATAGTAATTATTTTATGGATAATGTTTTATTATTCATAAATATACTTTACAATTTTTTATAATAAATACAAATACATATTTTAAAAAATATACTCTAGCTTATGAAAAATACCTTATGGAGACAATAGAGGTCATTGGTTACTCTTGATTTATAAGTAACTAACTTTGAAAATATAATTCTATTCAGTATATAGAGATGGAAAGACTAGCTTGTCTATCATTTAGTTCAGTTTAACATCTTTCTGTAAGGGCAAATCTTCACATAGTAGAAATCTTAGGGTGGTTTCATTTCTGCTTTAAGGATAACTGCCTTCCCACCACTGGCTGCAGACAGTGAAAGGCAGCAGGATTTGAAACATTGTGGCTGTAAGCTCAGCTCAGCACCCTTAATTGATTTTTCATGTTTGCTGGCTAGCTTATCATCACCATTTGGGTATTGTCTGATGGATGGGATATCTCCAAAGCATTTGGGTGCTATTACCACAGGCATTATCCATTATGACATCAAGTTGACAACTAGAACTGACAATGGCAATGATGGGGCAAGTACTTCCACCCCAACCCATAGTGTACCCTAACCTCACATTTCATAGCTAACTGAAATAAATAAATTTTACAAAAATCAAGCTTGACCAACAAAGATGCAGAAAATTGTAGTCCAGGCAGTCAAATGTCTGAATATTCCTTTGTGAGCTAATCAAAATTAAGATCATTCATGAAATGAATTCATAGCATATTTATAGAATAGTTATTGGTAAAAAGCAGTTAGATTAACAACTTCTAATATGTAGAAAAGCCAGTGCATTTTGGTAACACTATATTCCACCAATGGCTTTTATGTCAT